GGGAGAGTGAGATTAAGCGGAAAAAGTAGCTAGAGCTACGGAGCAGAACCCACTGCTTGGATAACCTCGGAAATGGCGAAAAGCGATCAAAAGAAATTCTTTTAAAAAAGTAACCCGGGCTTGAAACCTGAACGCACCAACGCACCTTCCTTTGTGAAAAGTAAATCTCCCCTCAAATTTTCGAACAATAATACATCGTTCCGGCAACAACAGATAAAAAATGTTTTGCCGTGAAACGACGACAGCGATATTTTGTTTTGCTTCAAATACTCAACGAATGTGGAATTTCCTCTGCAATTTAATTAAGTTTGAATTCAAATGAATGCGCGGGAAAGAGAGCGCGGGCGCGCCCGGGGGGAAGTTCATCAGTATAAAGCGTGCTCCTCCGAGTCCCGTACCACGCTATGCGCAGCCAACACTCTGGGCCGGGGGGGCCGACTCCGACTCCCATTTTCCACATGGTTACTTCAACAGGTACACCGCGCCACTCCCAGGCACTGCCTCCGGGGAAAGGGAGGGGGGGGGGGGGTCCTTTATCTAAGCACGTGCCTGAAAAGAACACGGAACAGCAGAGCCTGAGAGAGAGAGAGAGAGAGAGATTAGAGCTCGGGGACGCAGGGAGCGCCGTTGCCGGGTTTACAAGAGGAAGAATGATTTTGTTTCGCTGAGGGGCGCGCTGAGGTCCGGGCGGAGGATCACCGGACAAACTTGAGGGAGGAAACTGAATATGCTTGGGAAAATGCGGATCCGAAGACATATGTGTTCGGCCCGCCACACTGGAAACGCAAGTGTGTGTGTGAATGTTGCACACTTCGTAGGTAAGGTAGGAAAATTTCAGGGAAAAACGAAAAATTTGACAGAATTCGGGAGTTTTCAGTTAATTAGTTCAAAATTTTCCGAAGGTTTTGGGAATTTCCTACTCTAGTAATGATAATATGATGAACAGTCGGCGGCGCCTGAAGTCCCACGACGTGCAGGGGGGAGAACGGATCACGGTCTCTCACAAGGAGCTGTCGTCAACACAACACAGCTCGTTGTAGGGGACCAAGAGCCGCGCTCCCGGGGGCGGCCAAGCGCACCGAGGATGTATGGTGATATCTTCGACGTTGATTCTGTAGTTTAGGCTAGGGTTGGAAAATCTGGAAAGTTTCTGGAAAATTTCGGGGAAAACGGAAAATTTCCGGGAAAAATCGGAAAGTTTATGAAAAACACCTGGAAAATTTCCGGGAAATTAAAAATGATAAATTTTGGGGGAAAAATTGTAAATTTCCTAGACCTGGGAAATTTCCGGAAAATTTTAGAAATTTTCAACCCTATATTGTAGGCTATTTTATGAAATCTAGTCTAACCATCGTTGACAGCAGATTAAATGTTTCCATTTTTTTCCTCGACGCTCCTATTTTTCTCCACTAATTCTTTTTAACCCTCTTAGAGTGCACGGTTGTCATAATTTGAATTCCTCTTTATAAAGTTCAGAATAATAAAGTGTAATATGCTCAAAGACGATAAGAGTCCAACCTTTAATGTTGTTACCGACCGTGATTAGCCTCTTTCAGGTAGGCCATTATATTACTCAGTCTCAAGTTTAAGGAGGAAAACCATGCTAGAAAAACAGAAAGTGTAGCTTGGATACTGGGACGCCGTTTTTACCATGAATGAATTTATGACAGACAAGGTTTTTACTCACTCTCCCTCCCTTTGGAAAAACCATGACGTACAACATGCATTTCTTCCATAAGACGTCAAGGGTTTTTCCAAACTGTCATGAAAACCAGGACGTCGTTTTTACCGTGCCCCCCCCTCTCTCTCTCCCTCTCTTCCTCTCTCCCTCTCTCCCTCTCTCCCTCTCTCCCCCTCTCTCTCTCTCTCTCTCCCCCTCTCTCTCTCTCTCTCTCCCCCTCCCTCTCTCTCTCTCTCCCTCTCTCCCCTGTCCCTCTCTCCCCTCTCCCTCTCTCCCCTCTCCCTCTCTCCCCTCTCCCTCTCTCCCCTCTCCCTCTCTCTCTCACGCCCACGACGATGCCACTTTCCTGGGGCCCTCTCGTTTCACGACTCGCAGCCAACTGTGAAGGTTCTCCAGCAGTGCGGGGTCGACAGCGGGGGGCCCTTATCCGTCCATCCTGCCGGACGAACCAGTAAGTGGCGGGGAGGGGCGGGGGCGGTCGGAGCGGCGGGATTCTTTTTGGCAGCTGGGTGGCAGGCGAGGCGGAGAACCACCACCACCGCCGCCTCTATAGGCCCCGCCCCACCTCACCCCTCCCACCTCGCCACGATACGCGGCTGCGGGTCTTGACCCGGACTCTGTCCCCTCCCACCCGAGCCTGGGCCCTCTATGCCCTAGGTGTGTGAGGCGGGGTGGGGTAGGGCGCGGTAGGGCGGGGGTGGCTGTGGTGGGCCTACCATCAGAACTTGTTGCCTTTGAAGGGAGCCTGCGTGGAGCTACCCCGCCCCGCCCCGCCTGGCTGGGCCCCGGACTGAGCCACAGCTTAGTAGGGTGCGCCGCCGGGTTGGGATGGGATGGGGGGTGGGATCATCAGAGCACTGGCGGGCCCAGCTGGAAGCACCGCGAGGCTCGGGGCGCGGCGTGGTTGGGCGGGGCGGGGTTGGGGCGGGATGTCACGAAGCGCACCACTACATCCCGATCTCGTCAGGGACCCTAGCTATACTCGTAAAACAAGCGCACGACATTCTTTTCTGTTTTTTAGCTCATTTTAAACATGTACACGAAAAAAAATACAATTATAGCCAGATTAGCTGACGCATTCGCTAAATGGCCTCAGATTAGAATATTAGCTATCCCAGCTAATTATTAGCTAAGAATTAGCTAGGAGAGCTAGTATTCTCATCTAAGGCCATATTAGCGAAAGCATTGGCTAATTTAGCTATTTCTTCTTTTTCGTGTACTACTCTGAAACCGATCAGTTCGATTCAGCTCGAATCAGTTCGAATATAAATGGGCGTCATAATGTGTGTATGAACTGTCGAGGCCAGTAAATGTTTAGGGCGGCCGACAATGAGCGCTGCACTTCCAGGACTTCCGCTCCTGCAGTCCTATCGCGTGTACAGGCGGTCCGACCTTCGTCACCCACACCAATTAGTCGCTATACATCACGCGTTTTATCCCCTCCAGCTCAGTGAAACATGTCGTGTTACAAGCACCATGCTATATCTCATTTGCGTTCTCCACGCCAGCTGGCACCTCAGAGGCCACTACAGTTTGGAAACAAGCGGTGCTGTGAACACTTTTTGGAGGCTAATGCGACGCGAGGACCGTCCTAGGATCACCTAGCGAACGGAGCTCAGCAACCTCGGCCCGACCTTTGGCGCCACCGGATAACTAACTCATGGCCACGGCATATGGGTTGTAGGTTTCAGAGAGAAGAGGGGGGATGTGGTGCTGCGGGCTATAACCTCCGGTAGGTTTCCTATTTCAAAAGTGCCGCTTAACTCACGGTTAAAGAGCTAAATAATTTTATCCACTGATCTCACTACGCTTAAAGAAAAGATGCCTGACTCTAGTATTTGTAGTGGCTCCAGGTCCAGGATGTCATTGATACTTGTGATTGTGCTGCTGTGCCAGAAGGCTATCCACGGCAAAGCTATCAACTCTCTCTTTGTAAGTAGTCAGTACCTTTTATGAAACGTCTGTTTAAACTGTGGACTCCCCACTGCATAACGTTTTTCTTAACGGTATTGTATGGTATCTCTTATAGGGCCCTTACATTGCTTACGTCGAACGGTTCTACAATTGTGGACCAGACGACCTCCCCTGGCAATGGCATTTGCGGGTTACTCATTTCAATCCAGTCAAGCCAAGAGAAGCTCAACTCTTGACCGGTAACGTGACGATAGATGAACCTGTTGATGACAGCTTCGGGGTATGAAATGATATTTTATTGATAGTGATTATGAACACAAGTCGTGTACATAGTACAAGTACTCAAAAGTACACGACTCGAGTCCACAACCACAAAAAAACCAAACAACGCCAATCTTTATTATAACAGGTCAAAGTGTTTTTGGATGTTCGGTCAAATAACCAATGGAAGGAAAACGCGGTTGTCTTCGCCTTTAAATCGGGTGTATGCCAGAGACTAAAAGAAAATATGCCGACCTTTTACAACCTTTTTTACAAGAAAAGTGAAACTGAAGGCACTTGTGTCTTGAAACCTGTAAGTGCATGAACTGTAAATCTATTCTCGGAAAACTTTAGCCGGATGTTATTCAAAGTGATTAGGAGAGGTTACAGAGTGAATGCTGTCATTGTCCGTTTCTTAAAAACACCTGCTCTTCGTAACGTACAGGGATTTCAAAGCTTTTGTAATACAAACAAATTTTACGAGGAGGATCGCGGAGAGGCTTGTTTGTATTACAGGAGTATTTGAGGAGTGAAGACTGTTGTGACATCAAACACAAAAGAATGAAGTGCAAAAACTGTGATTTCTTCTGTTTACAGGGAGTTTATGAGGCCAATAACGAACCATGTGAATGGGTTTTTCCCAAATTTCCAATCTTGCCCTATGGACAATATAGGTATAGATTTACGGTGAGCAAGCTAGATCGCCCCATCGCCTGCTTGGCGGCATATTGCAGGATTGTTCCGAAACTCTAGTATCCACTCTACAAAAGATTGCACGAAAGGCCATACTAAATGTACAGTACGCACATGTCGGTATGATCGTCGTACTTACTGTACCGCTCATAAGATCTCAGCAATGCTTGAAATGATACATAAAACACCTCTCAAGCAAATCACGCCCACTTTCTTTGGACAAAATAACGGCCGTCTTACACAACATTGATAGCAGTCCAATATTTCTGAGGAGAGGGGGTAGATATAGTTCTTTACGTTCGCCACGCAAAACCAACCTGGCTTGGCTAAGCGGATACCATCGTGCTAAAAATTCGAAAGTTCAGCGGAACGAAAATTACGGAATGGAATAAATAAATAAGGTGGTTCTTTACTGGCGAAGGTATAATTTCCGGGATTTATGTGATAGCCCAAAACTTAGTAGGAAAAATCAGTGTTTCCACAATTATAAACCGTTTCATTGATTGGGTCCACTCATTTAACTTTTCACATTTTTTCGCACTAAATTTAAATATTTTTCCAATTTCCTGTCAAGTCACTCGCGAGACGTTCTATCATTTTTTAATTTTTTAAAAGAAAGATGGTGTGTATGGTATTCCCACATATTCGACGACCCCTTGTCATTTTTCCGGGTGCCCTACAGGTGTATACTGTACTCACCCCTGGGGTGGGCCGGACTTCCCTCCGAGCTGCTGCTCTCGGGCGGCTCCATGGCGGCTGGGATAAAGGTCTCACACTCGCGGTTTCAGATCAACGCCCCACCACCACCACCACCGCCGGCGCCCTGCCCTCCGGGCGGCCCTTGAGGAGGGTGCCGTCGAGGGGCCGTCATCGCCACCACCATAGGACAGTTTGGCCTGCGCCGGCCTGTGGGGCCTAGCCAGGCTCCATGGGCTGCAAGGGCGGGCGGCGCTGGGTGACTGGCGCACGGGGGCCTCGGCGCCCCTACTTATACCCTCGGTCGCCTTGCTCCAGCAGCGTCCCGCCACCGCCGCCACCCTCCTCCCGGCTCCAGCACCCCCTGGCGGAGCGGCGCGGAACAACCCTCTTCGCGCGGCCCCGCCGGCCCGGGCCACGCACGCTGAGCGGGGGGATCCGGGTCCGGGACGGGGATGGGGATCGGCGAGCTTACCCACATCCCCACAGCTTCCCCCCGCCCCCTACCCGCCTTCCACCCGGCATGGTTTTCAGCTTTCATCAATATGCGCACAAAATTCGCGCAATCTCTCTCTCTCTCTCTCTCTCTCTCTCTCTCTCTCTCTCTCTAAATACAGTCGCCGGCAGCATTCAGAAAATGACCCGTCGGATCACTTCAGTAATCCCCATCCCCTCCATGGCCCTGTTCGATAAGACAGACGGGGATCACATGATCCTGGCCCGTCCACTTTGTTCCCGCATAACGCACTGTATGGAGCGGAGCGCCGCCTGCGCCTGTCTGCTGTGTGGCGGGGCGGGGCGGGCCGGCTGGTGGTGGAGTAAGGCGGGGACCTGTCGCACAGCGCAGCCCGAGACCTGTACCACCGCATTTGTAGTCACTGTCATACAGTTGGTGTCACTTATTTTACTTTGACTGGCCATCTTGATGTTAACGACGTATAGTGCGCACCTTTTTTTCCGACTTCATGAATAAATAGTTTGCAACTTTGTTTGTGAAAGAAATGACGTAAATTTCAAGTTCGGGGCTTTGGTGAACTGTAGGAAATGAAAGAGGCGAGCGTCAATAGGTCTATGCTTTTATTGTGAACATCTCGGTTTTTATAACAACAATCACGGGTGGCGCTGCCGCTCTAGTCTGCGGAATTGACTTTCGGATAACAATAAAACGATTCAAAACATTTTCGGATCGCAAGTCGAGGACGGGCAGCGGCCAACAAAAACATATATACTTCATTAGTGCGGCACTAACATGCGTTACATTTTCTTTATTGTTAAAATGAACACGATACGGGTTTTATTCATTTCATAAAACTAACAACAAAAGTTTGTTACAATGTTGAAGGACTCAAATAACGACTCAAAATCTCAAAATGAAATATCAATCTGTTATGGGATCTCAGAAGGCTCCGTTTTATTTATTTTCACTTCCTGACTACTTTATTATATTATGATGCGGACTTAAACGTTTGAGAAAGGGTAGGAAGTATAGGAGAATAGGTACTAGACAATTTTCAGGTCATAGGGGTAGTAAAGTCGTATTATCATAACACTCAAACAGATCAAATTAATGTGAAAACAGCCAATGCACTCCTGGAAAGTGTCTGTGAATGTCTGCACGATCGGAGAGAGACAATTCAGACGTATCTTGACTGGATCCCGCTCGCTCGAAATCATTTTTTCTTCAAAGAAAAAGTGAGTCAAATTAAGAAACTGGGATCTTTACATCTATTTGTTCAACAAATGACTCACGACGTTTTTGACACTGGGAAACAATGCGTCACACTTGATCTCGACCTCCAAAAGGAATTATTTGCCATGCACTTACAAGGCAGAATATCTTTTGTAACGCACTCCACTCCATGTAAAAAAGAAAGACTCTATGGGCTGGAGTGCATAACAAACTTTATCCTTAAGGCAGTGGATTGAATTAAGAAACACGAATGCCCCCCAAGTTTTCCAGTGCTGCCAGCCTAGTTACCAAGTCAACATATTTCGAACACTCTTTAATATTTGTCAAGTTTTCTTTTCTCAATGTTTTTTTTTCTTTCTTGGAAAGATGTGCAATGGAATCAGTTCTAAGGTAACAATAATGTTGTTACAAAAATAGATCCTATAAATTGAGTACGATTAATATGTGCGTGCAAAAGCATGACTAGATTTCTACCTGCACTTATTGCCGTCATGAAGCCTTTCCTCAAGCCACTGAGCTTGAACTTAAGTGCGTAAGTTTTCAAAATCTATATTACAAGTTAAGCTTAATAGACGAAGATCTTTTGACTTACTTTCTGGATTAACTTGGTCAACATCTTTATAGTTATGAAACAACTTCAAAAAATCAAAATATTTTCTGATTAACCATTAAGTGCCAGTAGGGTTTAGGAATAATCACAGGACACTACACATATCAAAACAATTACTTGCCCAATGCATTCGCTCGCTATACTATGACTAACTTACTCAAATTGTGGTCAGTAAAATAAAACTTTTTTGGTTTCAAAAATGTGGATTTCACAAAATGGCATTATGACATGCATCAACACCTGTACAGTGCCAATGATTAACATTTGGATGGTTAAGAGCAAAACAAGCACAAGTACCTTAAATAGCACTAAATTCACTGTGCGAATGTCATTCTTGAGTACAGACTCATAAGAAATTACATACATTTTATGGCAAAAGTCGGAAGATTTGCCTTTTTAAGACAAAGGTCTTCCTCAATTAATGATTAGTACAGTTTCCTTTGGCTTTATTAATAAGAGGTCACAAGTTTCTTCGACTTCATACTCGACTCAGAACACACAGACAGTTGGATTAGGAACCTTTTGTAACCAGGATCCGGTACATCATATCCGCTCCACGTAGTTGCCTGGGAAGGTGCCGAAGAAGCCGGTGCGCTGCGAGGAGCCGACGTACCAGCCGTCGTCGCACTTCTCCATGACCAGGACGATGTCGCCCTCGAGCAGCTCGAGCTCGTCGTCGTTCTGGGGCCGATAGTTGTACAGGGCGCGGTATCTGCAATTGAATCATGGTTGTGTCGGATTGAACATTTACTTCAATACTTAAAATATAACTACATAGAAAGTTGAAAAAATAATCTACGTCAACACTTACGGCACGGGGTCGGAGTGCGTGTCGATGTGCAGGGTCTGGTTGACGGCGGCGGCCTGCTTGGCCGGGGCCGCGATGGCAGAGGCCGGCACCGAGCCGTACGGGGTGACGCCCGAGTAGTTGGCGGGCGCCCGGCCGGTGGGCGGCTGGTACGAGTGCGCGCCGCCGCCGCCGTTCAGGATCAGGCTGTGCGCCGCCGGAGCCGCCACCGGCTTGCCCGTAGGAATCGGCGTCGTGGCTAAACCGCATAAAAGAAAAAAAAAAACACAAATAAAACCAATGAAACAAAGTTCGAAAAACGGAAAATGAAATAAGTACCCCGTCCTAGTCAATGGCATACTTTGAGTGCATTACATTCTTAATGTAAATGACAATTTTGTTTTCCTAAAAAGGAAACAATTTCGTGCACACCCAGACCGTACATGCAAATTTTGTTCCTAAACCTTGACAAACAGCGTCGAGTTTCACGACACAGCGTCCCGTTATCAGGAACAAAATTGTGTAGTTTTCCAGACACCAAACTGATTGCGATTGCAAAAAATTAAAAACAGGGAATTTTCTAAGGTTCTAGAGTGCTGGCCAACAAGGCTCGTTTTCCCTTTGCGGGCGCCCCCAGCCCGGTCGCCTGGGAGGTAGGCAAAGCGGTGCGCGGCCGCGAGGCACGTTGCCTATCCCGCGTTACGCAGGCGCCCGCGTCGTAACGCATGAAGAGACGGTTGAAAAAGAAAATTAATTTTCAACTTTTCAAGCGTTATTTAAGCGTTGTCGGCTTCCCGTAAAGACGCGTTTCGGAAGCTGAAAACGCTTTCAAAACGCTTGTTGAAAATTAATTTTTATTTAT